GAGATCCACCCTGAGCTTGCTTTTCTTTGCTTTGACTGGTCTCATGACCCTGTGGTTGTCTCCCACTGCGCCTATGGGGGTGTGTCAAACATTGCATGTTTATGTTGTGTAGGCTGTAGTGGGTTACACCTTAGGGGGTACACAAACTTAGGGTTTCCTACTTGTACCAAACTTCCTGCTAGTTCATTCATTCCTGCTTCAGTTATTCTGACACTGGTGCCAGAGTGCATCATCAGCGCGAAAGCCGGAGGTGCGCATATAGCGCGCGCGCGCTTCCTCAAAGTCTTCGTCAGGTACAGGAGCAGGTTCTGCTGCTACTTCTTCTGCTTCTTCTTCTGCCGCGGTAGTCAGCATCAGCGCCAAGAACTCTCTGTCGCGAATTTCAGAGAGCGGGATGTTGGTCCCAGGGATGGTTCCAGGGACAAGGGTAGGTTGGCGTGGCTCAGGGGCAGGTCCGTAGACAGTGCGACGCGGGGTTGACGGCTCGTTGCCCCAGATAATGGTATCCCACGGGTCGCGATGCGGGGGAATGTCTGCAGGAGGTGGTGCGAGCGGGATGTGGCGCGGGGGACGACCGAGAGGAACGACTGCAGGTGCTGCTTCGGTTTCCGCGGCTTCTTCCTCTTCCCCCCTTCGTTCTTCGCGGGAAGTGCCCCAGCCGCTATTACCGGCGCCAGATGCGGCGCCCCATCCGCCGCTCGCGTTGGCCCAGGTTCCGGCGTTGTCTCCCCATCCGCCGGTGTCGCTTGTTCCCCATCCTCCAGCGCTCCCCCACCCCCCTTCATTGGAGGCACTTTCTTCCTCCCCAGGCGGCGCAAGCGAAGGTCCCGCGGGCTTCCGCAAGACTTTGCTGGCGAAGCTCCTCGGCTTCGCGGCGCGCCAGTTCTTCTTCTTGCTCCACGGTAAGCTTCTTCTTCGGGTCGCGCTGAGTTGAGTAGACCTCCAGGAATTTTTCGTAGGTGTAGGGGCGCGGCTCCCCAAGTGCATCGAAGGTCCCGACCCCTGTTCCGCGCAGCATGCCTTGCAGGTGCTGTGAGGGGGGACCGATGAGGGGATGTTCCTTCGTGCCGAAAACACCGTGGGTAGCAATTTCAAGTTCGAGCTGCGACATGCCTTCCTCAGGCGGCGCGTTGTGCTCTGCTTCAGCGATGGCGGCGAGTCCGCGGCCTGCGATCGCGCTCGTTGAGGTTGTCGGCGTGTGACAATCCCTGCAGATTCCATCGGGATTGGGGTTGTGAAGCGCCGTTTCGCGTGGGTGGGGATGATGTGGCACCCACGGCCTGCCGTCAGGGTGCTTCCAATCCCTGCGGTGGATATGCTCAAAGCGCAGTGGCACGAGGTCAATGAGCTCGTGCGAGTCGCCGCTGCAGTCGGGGATGTCAAAATCTAACACGTACACTCCGTTTTCAGAGTGTGCCCGTCCGATCTGCCTGCGGGGGAAGTTGCGCGCCTCATAGTGCAGCAGGATGTCTCGCGTCGCGCGGTCCGTGCTGAGGTCGACGCCGCAATCCATGAGTTGTGCGGCGGACAGGAGGTTGAAGCGCAGGTTCTGGACGATCAGCACATCGTTGAGCGTGATGTGCGTGCGGCTCCCGCGTGCTTTGAGCACGACGATGCCTTGCGCGCTTGCGCGCAGGCGCGTGTTGTTCGCCACGGTGACGTAAGTGACGGTAGGAGTGGGGATGGCGTTGGATATGTAACGCTCGGACCCCACCATGTGCTGGCCGCAGCAGCTGTCCAGGTACCAGGTGTTGTAGCGCTTGTTGTCGTCACGTGCGAGCAGCGCCAGTCGCGGCGTGACGATGTGCGGAGTGTCGAACTTCAGAAATTGCTCGCGCGAGAGCCAATCAAGTGGCGCCACCCGCATGTCAGGTACGTGCGGGGGACTTTCAAGCAGCGGGACTGGAAGATTCCAGTCTTGGTCGTCGTCGTCGGTGAAATCGTGGCGCGGACTGAACGGATTGTTGTTGGTGAATGCGCCAATGGGGTGCGGTGCCGGCTCGGGTGAAGGCGAGCGGACGCGGCGACGACGCGATTCGCCTGTCATGGCCATGTTGCTCATGACATTGCGAACTGGGGCAGTCGATGACGGCTGCTGCTGCTGATGCTGAACCGTTGGGTTCAGGTTGCGCGTGGGAGGGGGCTGATACCCCTGGGCTGGACGCACGTCGCCTCGTGCGTCTTGACGGCCGGACCAGGTGCTCGGATTGGTCTGGCGAGGGCGAGATCGGTTCTTGCATCGATCCGCCAGATGCCCGAAATTTCTGCAGATTTTGCAGTAGAGGCGCCGCGGCTTTCGCTCTTCGGTGTTGTCGGCGTAGAAGGCGAGCCGTTCGCGTTCTCGTCGCGGCGCTGGTCGCTGCTGATCCATATCCCTCTGTTCGACGAGAAGGGCGGCGCAAAGGGCGGCCTCCGAGATGACCCCCTGCTGTCGGAGAAGCGCCTTGCAGGGCCGCCACTCTGGGCCGAGCCCTTGAAGCACGATGTTGACGAAGATTTCCTCTGAAATCGTGCTTCCCAGCTTCACGATTTGGTCGCGAAGGCTCCGACAGCGATTGAGATAATTGTTGACCTTCTCCCCTGCGATCATCTTGGTTTCCAGGAGTTCCTGGAGTAGTCGGCTCGAAGAGACAGTGTCCCTGGGCTGATAGACTCCTGTCAGGTGCCGCCAGGCGTTGAGGGCTGGAGCAGCCGAGGTCTTGTAAGAACGAATGTTGAGCTGCTCCGCCGGCGACATATTCCGCAGGAGCACCCCGTACGCCATCAACGATTCGTCGTAATACCTCGCCTTGGCGTCGTCGGTGTCCTCAGCGGGCTCCGCGTAGCTCCCGTCAAAATAATGGAAAATTCGGGCGTTCTGCAGCAGGAGCTCCAACTCGAAGCTCCAGGTGTAAAAGTCTCTGCCGTCAAAACATGTACTTGTCTTTATTTTTGATATGCTGAGGAACCTTGATTGAGCGGAGAGAATTGCCTCTTCACTGGGACGGGGAGTCTTGGGGGTTGAGCCATTGGTGTCGAGGGAGAATGTTTGCGGGGTGGCGTTCTGGCCAGTCGGGGCCGGTTGAGAGGGTTGCGAGGATGTTCCCGCATCGCCATTCCGCAATGTTTGGAGTCCTTGCTCCAAGCTGGTGAGTCGCTGAAGAAGTTGTGCGAGAACTTCGGAGTTGATTGTCGTCGTGTTCTCGCTTGTCGCAGCCGGGTTGGGTTGCGCTTCAGCCGTCAGATTGGTCTGACCACCAGATCCTCCGGCCATCTTCACTCGTGAGCGTGTGCCGGACGCCACTTTCCGAATGTCGCAATTTTCGGGAGTGACCATGCTGCGATCAGAAGTTGATCGTGGCCTAGGATCTACTCAGGAAGGTTCGCACGTAGTACGGTAGTGTTGGTGGGCCCTTGACCTCAATAGCAGAGTGAATGTAAAATGCTTGAGATGATTAAAACATGCAAATACAAGAAATATAAATATGAGTACAAGGGAATACGAAACGACCTAACTAGCCATGTACTCTAAGGGGTACATTCCCTTATTCAAATTCATTCCCAACCGTGCGGCGCGTACAGTTTCGTAACTGTTCCCGCCAAAACCATCCTGCCTGAAGCTGCCCGATGCCATCTGCTCCGACGGTCCAGATGTGCTGTAATTGTCTGACTCTTCGGTTCGATTCCAACTGTCTGACGGTTCACGTTCGTTCCCGATATTGCCTGCTTCTTTAGCTGCGGTGAGGAGTGCACAGTAATATCAAATATTACTATTCGTAACAGTTCGAACAGCACGCTCGTTCAAACAGGCGAAATGTTACATTGTTCGCCAATCCTCGTATGGGTGTTCGTGACGTCGCTAGCCGGAAATTTCGCGAATCTGAACAGAGCTGTCACATGGGGCAGGAAGCTCTTCATTCCGCACGTTCGAACAGAGTTGTTCGAACAAGTTGGGATTGGTGATAGGGATTCCGCACGGACGACTGATTTGATTGGTCAGCAGCCTTCAGGTCGCCCACGAATGTTTGCGACCATGCAAATGTCGCCATGCAAGAGAAAACGACATTTTTTGCTGGGAAACAACAAATTGAACAGTAGTAAAAGAGCACGAAGAGACATTTTGACTGGACGGGCGAGAAATGAGTCAAACAGGGAATAGCAGACGACTGAATTTTTTTCTTGCGACGTCTTCTAGCACTTGGCGACGTCGCATGTTCAAACAGGCTGTCACCTCTAGTCACAAGCTGTCACATTCACCAGGGTGTTCAAAGTTGTGTTCGGATCTCGTTGGGAAACTGTTCGTACGGTGAATTCGTTACGTATGTTCGGATTTGGGCCTTCCAGCCCCAAGGTGAAGCGCCCTGAATCTGCATTCAGTGTACACTTCGATAAAAGTCTGAAAATCAGTGTTAGCTATGAGATAAAGGCTGAAAAAATCAGTGTCACAAAAATCTCAACACTGAAAAATCAGTGTAGGTACACAAAACTAGGCTGAAAATCAGGAATTTCAGGGAAAAATTCCTGATATCGTAGGGCCTGCCTAGCAGAGTCGGCCTAAGTTTTGGGACTAGCCAGAACATCAATGCCCGCAGAGCACTAGCTAAGGGCATGTTCCTACGCTCTTATCAGGCAAACCTCTTGTCAGCCTTGCCTGGTAAAAGTAGCGAGGGTTTTTGGGTTTAGGGAAATTTCAGTGTGTTTTGACGTGAGCCTGATAAGAGGTTGGCCTGATAAGGGGCCGTAGGAACATGCCCTAAATCGCACGCACCGCGTTACCGTCTGCATGTTCGCGTATAAGTATTCACTCATGCCTTCGCTCTCCTAGTGCAATCCTCTCTATCTCGATCCATTGCACCCGTGACATAATGGAAAACAATGGTCTTTTGTATGGATCTATATTATGGCATGCATCTTGTAGATGAAACATTCCTGGCGATTAACATATCGGTTTTAACAGGTATCAATTGGCAATTAACGCCTCCTGTTTGTGTTCTTTGCTTTCACCCTCCACCTGTGCACTCTCATTCCACCATGCCCCCCAACAACTCCAGGCATTTCTCAGCAGCCATCTTGACAGCCTCGCTCTTCTCCACCTTCACAGCATCACGCAGAGCAGCAGTGAGGGAATCCCGGTCCGCAGGCTCAAGGGCGCTGTGGTTCTGCAGGCACACGGTGGCTGCCTGCACTGCCTCCACAGCTGCTTGACGGGTCTGTTGAATCATGAGCACATGCATGAGAACAGCAGTGCACAGAGGAGACGTATGTGTGCATGTGTGTACACAAGAAGCGCATATTTGAGCGGCATGTGGAGAGTGAGGACGAGGAAGGGCCTCGGGAGAGGAATTGGGCAGCAACTGACTGGAATATCAGAAAAAGGTGCAAACGGGTGCTCAAGACGAGGGGAGGAAGAGAGGAGGGGGGAGGAAGAGGAGAGAGGGGAGGAGAAGGGAGGAGAGGGGAGGCGAGGGAAGAAGGGTGCCGGAGTTGGGAGGGGGTTGGTGGAGGTGTTGGTTGGATTGATTGCTTGCCTGGGAGCGCTTGGTGTCGGATAGAGCATCGATGAAGTTGGGGAGGAAGGGGGCCACTGTCTGGTGCACAGCGGACTGCATGTGTGCATGCATACAGTGACATGCCGTGACAGTCACATGAACATGTGCAGGGTGAATGACGGACACATGAAGGGCATAGGCAGGGCAAATGCAGGCACATAAAGGGCATGTGAAGTGCAGATGGGGCTGAGAAGATCAAATGCAGTACCAAGAGTGCTCATGCGCGCGCACGCACGCACGCACGCACGCACGCACGCACGCACGCACGCACGCACACACACACACACACGCACGCAAAATACAAGCACACTCTCACTCTTCCTTGCTATTGAACATCCACTTGCAACTGCAGTGCTGGATGCAAGGCATCCAACAGACGCATACTAATTGACTGCAAGGGACGCTTAAAACCCGCAGGCCAAGTTATTCAAGCTTAGGAAGGTTGGTTGGGAGTGAGGACGGTATTTGCCCGTGAGCCAATAGGAGTGTCGAAAATGTTGGCCTAGGTCATAGAACTCGGGAATCAGCACAGGGTTTTTGGGACACCCAACCAGCATTAGGAAGGATGAGCCAAATTTGGCCTTCTTGACCCACGGGTTTTAACAACCATTGACTGACTTATGCCAACCAATGGCTGACCATTGGCTGACTTTATGACAACTTGGCTGAACCATAACCACTAGTTTTTAAATCAGAATGACTGGCCCCTTGCCTACCAGTAATCAACTTACATCAGAAGGTAACTTAAGAAGAGCAGTTAGGAACGTGGCACTTGTATTGAGTGCTGCCAGCTTTACTGCAGAGGGAAGCGGGGCGAGCAGGGGAGGAAGACAATTGTGAGACAGCAGCGACTCGTGGTGGTTGCAAGTGGCAGAGGACTACAATAGCAGATGACGAGTGCCGTGCGGTGCAGTGCGGTGCAATGCAGTCCAGCGGAGTGGAGTGGCTGCACTCGGTACTATGCAGAGCACGGTGGAGAGGACAGAGATCGAGACAGGGTTTGGACACAATGGCAATATCAGTGCAGAAAAAAAAGCAATGCATGGCACCGGGTGAGGTAGAGAAGAGGCAAGAGCCATGGCAGGAGGTGTGGCAGTTGTTAGGATACTGACACGAGGGTCGTGCACACCTGTCCACACAGGATTGGAGGAGAGCAGGGCGCAGAGGGCTGATTGCAGGGCTGCTGTGTATGGTGGCAGGGAGGTGGGTGTTGCGGACAGGAGAGCTGCAGAGACGCATGCTAGCAACGCCTCTTGCTGCTCTGCTGTTGTTGCCCGCGCTTCTGATGCTGGCTCTGCTGCTTGAAGGGGCGTGTGTGCGAGGTGGCGGGGAGGAAGGGTTGGGAGTGGGAAACACGAGAAAGGGTGGGAAGACGAGCTGTAATAAACAGTTGCAAAGAAATAGAAATACGAGAACATAAGACAAAAGCGTAAACATAACAGCACCTATTTTCAATGAACCCACCTCTCTGCCCAACGCAAGGGAAAAAAACAAGCATCTACCTTCCACCAAGCATGCACAGGAAGCACTGCAAGAAAACACATACCACTGGATGCAGCCTTTGAAGCATCAGCAGATGCAGTGGCGGGAGATGAGGGTGGAAAGAGCGCAATCAAACCCGGTGCCACCAAAGGCAGCAGGTCCAATGCTGGAGCTGCAGCTGCTGTTGCTGCTGCTGCTTGTGATGTGGTCGGTTTTAACAGCTGTTGCTTCAGAGGAGGTGAAGGCGAGAAGGCCTGCAATATCTGTTGGCAAAAGAGGACGAGGATGATTCTTGAGTCAACTCACAAGTGATCGTGGCATGTGAGGGATAGCGGGAAATGCATAAGTGCGACTTGACAGGCGCGGAAAACATCAGAATACCCAAAGATGAAATGATGAAGTCGGAAACACCTGGACTTGCAATCCTACGACTGTCAGTCTTAGCCACCTGGTGCTGGCTCTGTGACGCTGCCAAGCTTGATTCTGCATTGTGCATGATAACAATTGCGTCGGAATAAAGTGCACACCTTGTGCAGGCTCTGCAGTGCTGCCAGCCTGAATGCTGCTTTGTTGCGCCCACACGCTGCCAGCACTGCAGCCACCACATCTGCTGCTGCTGACTTCCCTGCCTCTGCTGCTGGTGCTGGTGCTCCCTGTGTGGCTGCTGATGGTTGTAGTGAGAGCAAGAGCAGAGCGGAGGGGCATGCAGTGCAGATGGCTGCAATGGCTGGCAGCAGCTGCTCCTTGCCCTGGGGGAGGGAAGCAGAGGGGAGAGAGAGAGAGAGAGAGAGAGAGAGAGAGAGAGAGAGAGAGAGAGAGAGAGAGAGAGAGAGAGAGAGAGAGAGAGAGAGAGAGAGAGAGAGAGAGAGAGAGAGAGAGAGAGAGAGAGCGTGTTTTTGCAACTTCCTTGTACCACCCCTTATGTAATGCACGGACCATTCGAGAGAGAGAGAGAGAGAGAGAGAGAGAGAGAGAGAGAGAGAGAGAGAGAGAGAGAGAGAGAGAGAGAGAGAGAGAGAGAGAGAGAGAGAGAGAGAGAGAGAGACCAGGCCAGGGGGCGCAGAGAGACGACGTGGAACGCGGAAGATGAAGGACCACGGATGGTGAGTGATGGATGGTGCATGCAACGCCATGTCTTTTGAGTCGACTCAAAAGTCACCACGGATGGTGAGTGATGGATGGTGCATGCAACGCCATGACTTTTGAGTCGACTCAAAAGTCACCACGGATGGTGAGTGATGGATGGTGCATGCAACGCCATGACTTTTGAGTCGACTCAAAAGTCACCACAGATGGTGAGTGATGGATGGTGCATGCAACGGCATCTTAATGATGAACATCAAACGAACGAATGGATGAATGAAATGGATCGTGGCACTAATGCGTGTGGCTGGCTGTGCATGACAGGCAAGTGCAAGCGGAGTTGAGATGCCTAGGGAGAACTTTCAACGTGGTTCGTCAACATTTAAGTTGAGATTCTTAGGGAGTACATCCAACGTGGTTTTTGTCTCACCTCCCACAAGCGGCCTGGCAGGTGTGGCAGCAGGGCGGAGAGGAACTGCAGCAGGACGGTGTGTGGTGTGTCGGCACCCATGGCCTTCACCACTGCCTGCATGGCTGCTGCTGCCTGCAGGGTGGAGAGGTGGGGGACGTGAAGAGAGGAGGCGAGCGGGGAGGAGGAGCGGCAGGGAGGTTGAGGGGGGAAAGGGAAAAAGGAAACAACTAGCAGCGCCCCTAGCCTAACCTGGCAGCGGCTGTTGCCTTACCTGGCAGCGGCTGTTGCCTCACCTGGCAGCGGCTGTTGCCTCACCTGGCAGCGGCGGGTCCAAGAAGAGGAAGAAGCGGCAGCGGTGAGCGTGGGAGCAATGTCCCCCGCATGCTCCCTCACAGCTGCCGATGCCGCCACTCCCACGTTGTCCCACGCCTCCTCCCACACCGCCTTCACTGCCTCGTCCTCGTCATGCCTGGTGAGGAGACACGATGGGGGAGGGGTGGGGGAGAAGTGGGTGCGTGCAGGTGGAGGAAGATGGGCGAGATGAAGAGGGAGGGAGGGAGAGCACGCACACATAGCAATGGAGTGCATGCATACACTAGGGGAGAGTGGAAGGAGAAGGGAATGTGATGCGTCATCACCGGCTGAACGACTGATGCGGTGCGGTCTATGTATGTGTTGCTGTTGTCAATCTAGTCACAGAGGTTTCCTTATGGACGTGCTCGTATTTGAGACTTCCAAAAAACAGCTCGTATCCTACGGAAGTGAGAGAGAGGAAAAGGGAGCTCGTTGAGAAGAGGGGGGGGGAGGGGGAGTAGTAGAAGAGGTGGATGGCGAAAAGGATGAGGAGTTGCGGCAGCACAAGACAGAAACCCCCAACTCACCGTCCAAGGAGCAGCGTGGGCAGCAGCACATGGTGGCACGGCGGCATGTCATCCGGACACGCCTTCCCTACATCCCGCATCAGCAGCGCACAGCACAGCCGCACGTCCTTCTGCCCTGCCGCCTCCTCCCCCAAATACTTCCCACACGTCTCCCCCACTGTCCTTTCCACTGCAGCGGCCCCCGCGCATTTGGCCATGTCTGCAGCTGCTGCTGAGAAGGCTCTTCGGCCCGCCGAGGTGCGCTCGGAAAAGAGAGCGAGGGTGAGGGTTTTGAGGAAGGCGGGGGCGTGCGGGCGCATGGCAGTGGGGCCGGCACGGGGGATGAGGAGCGAGATGAAGCGCGCCACACCCACTCTGATAAGGGGAGGGGAAGAGGGGGGGGGGAGGGGATTAGATGAGGAAGGGGTGGAGGAATGGCAGGGCAATGTGCCGCGAGAGCAGGGGAGACGTGGAGGGATGAGGAACGATGAGAAGGGATGAAGAGGGATGAGGAGAGATGAGGAGGATGAGGAGGGATGAGGAGAGATGTGAAGGGAATCAGGGAATGCAGCCTCTGAGGGGGGTGATGGCGGCATGAGAGCTAGGTCAGGAAGTAAAGGGGCCCGTTTCGTGAGTAAGCAGGCAGGAGGAATGGCGGGATGAGCGCAGGTGAATAAGGCAGGCAGCGATGAGAGGAAAGGTGTAGCGTGATAGAGGGGGTGCAATGGAGATGCGGAGGAGGGGTGGCACCTGGTGTTGAGGCCCACAGAGGAACGCGTGAGGGACTTGAGTGTAGGTAGGAGGTCAGGCAGACAGGACTCGTCCACCTGCAGCAGGGTAACAGCACAGCAGGAGAAGGTAGAGGGTAGCAGAGCACAGGTGGAGGGCAGCAGCAAAAACAGGATGATATCGATGCACAGAAAGACAGACAGAGAAGCACACAGGTACAGGGGACGAATACATTGCATGGGTAGCTGGAAACAGAAACCACATGCAGTGAGCAGCAAGCAACAAGCAGCAAGCAACGAGCAGCAAGCAACGAGCAGCAAGCAAAGAGCATTCAGCAACAAAGCACGCACCTGTTGCAGGCACGCATCGAGTGTGTGCCACATGGGCGTGTCTCGTGACATGCCCAGCCGTGCAGCTTCCAGCTTCTCACTGCTGATGCCCACCCTCTCCGCGTGTTGCTGCTCCATGCCACACACATGCAAGGAGTGAGGGAGGGATGGAAGGGTGGCACGGTGCAATGGAGGGGGTTTTGATACGTCTCGAAGCTCGCCTCCGGCTTCTCACTGCTGATGCCCACCCTCTCCGCGTGTTGCTACTCCATGCCGCGAAATGAGGCACGACAGGGTGGGTGTGCGGTGGCGAGAGGGACAGTGGGGTGAATGAAAGGAGGTGGCTCACACAGGTAGATGAGACAGGGATATGATATGAGGCGTTCAGAGGTGTTGAAAATAGTAAGGCATCCATTTTCTAGGCGTATCAGAAAATAGACTTGGCGAACAGGCAGACGAGAGAGTCACAGAGAGGCATTTGCACACGTGCGCACATCACCACAAGTTCCCCTGCATGTGCGTGCTCTGCTGCTCTCCTACAAAAATCTCTACACATGCAGAGTAGATTCTCCTACATGCGTCGCCCAAGCCCCAGCCCCAGCCCCAACCCCAGCCCCAGCCCCAGCCCAAGCTGCCCCCACCGCTGTCCCCCGTTTGCCCCCGTCCCTGCCCCTAACCATAGCCCTACCCTGCCCCTCCCCCTCACCTCAGCGTAGTTGAGGTTCTGGTCCTCCAGGCCTGACAGTGCTTCCAGCATGGCTGGCACCAGCGCTGCCAGATGTGGCCGCACTGATGCTCCCGCTCCCTGACCGCACAAAAAGGAGCGCATACGGCGGGGGATAGAGGGAGGAGGGAAGGGGGGAAGGGGAGACAAGGGAAGGGGGGAAGGGGAGACGGGGGAAGGGGGGAAGGGGGAAAAAGGGGGAAGGGGGAAGGTGGAAGGTGGGGAGAAAGGGGGGACGAGGGAAGTGGGGAAAGAGGTGAGGAGAGGGGAGTTGGGTGATGCAGTGGAGGCGCACAGACCCCACGGAGGGGAGAGGGTGCTTTGGAAAAACTCCAACAACACTCCCCATCAAAAAAGAAACCAGAGTTGCTCCTGAGAATCCGCAACAACCTCTCTTCCCCCCTCTCTCGCTCCCCCTTTGCACGCACCTTGGCGAGCCTGGCAGTTGTTAAGGGAGCCAGGTGATGCACAGGTCCCACAGACGATGGTGCCCTGCCCTGCAGCAGCAGATAGTTCTAGAAAGTACTCAACAGTTTCCCGCTCCTCTCCTCCACACGCACCTTAACGAGCTTAGCAGTGGTGGAGAGAGCGAGGTGACGCACGGACCCCACGGATGACGTCATGCCCTGCGCCAGCAGCACAGGCAGCACGATGCTGCACGCAGCATGCGCGTCGGCGCGTGGAGTTAGCGTGGGGTCGCACAGGCGCACGGTGAGCGATGTGGCAGCGCGGCACAGCTTCTCCCCCGCCACGCGCACACTGTCCTTGATGTCGTCGCATGCGCGGAACGACACCACCCACACCTGCTCCAGGTGGCTGGAAACCTGTGGAGGGGAAGGGGGATTGGGGATGATGAGTCAAACGGAACTTGAAATGCTTAGTTGTGAGGCGCCTCAAAAGGCAGTGAGGGTATGCGTGCGGCGCGGCACAGCTTCTCTCCTGCCACGCACACCCTGTCTTTGATGTCATCGCACGCACGGAATGAGACTACCCATACCTGCTGCAGGCGACTGGATACCTGCGGGGACGGGGGTGGGAAAGGTGTGCGCATGTGTGCATGCAAGCACGTGAGTGTGTGCGCATGTGGGCATGTGAGGAGGGGTAAGTGGAACCTCAAGTTGTCGGCATGTGAGGAGGGGTAAGTGGAACCTCAAGTTGTCGGCATGTGAGGAGGGGTAAGTGGAACCTCAAGTTGTCACACATGGAGGTGCACTGTTCGGGGGAGTGTGGTGTTCATACAGGCATGGTCCGCAAGTGCAAGACACACAACCTCCCTGTTCCGCCACAGCCTCCTCGTGAGATTTTCCAGCAGGTCGTTCTACAGCGACGATTCCAACAGCAACGATTTCCGCAGCGACGATTTCTACAGCGACAGTTTTTACAGGGAGAAGTTCTACAGCGGCGCAGGGCCAGAGACCATTCGGGAGACGAGGAGGAACTTTATGTTATGTGAATAACCTAGAAAAGCAGTTTCGTTAGATAAAACGCAGAAGGTTGGCGACTCCAATCATGACCTTGCTATCTTTCCGGCTGTGAGACAGGTATGGCGGCCTGTTGTGGTCCCAAAATTTTCCCCGAGTCTCACTGCCAGAACAATAGCAAGGCCACGAATGGAGTCGCCAGCCTTCTGCGTCTAATCTATCAAACCTGCTCCTCCAGGTTATTTCCGCAACAGAACGTTTCCCAAATCGGTCTCCGAACCTGCGCCGCTGTAGAACTCATCGCTGTAAAAATTGTCGCTGTTGGAATCGTCGCAGCTTCCCACCCCCCCAAACCCCCACACACCTCTGCAAACCGTTCCGACGGCAACAGGTCCGCAAGCGCAAGGCATGCTGCCTCCCTGTTCCGCCACAACCTACCCGTGACATTCCCCAGCAGGACGTTCACGCCAGATGTGCCAACACCCAGCCCCCCCGCCCCCTCCCCACTCCTCTCCCCCCCCCCCCCCCCCCAAAGTATATCCCCGCACACTTCCCACCCAGTCCCCTCTCCACACCCACTCCCCAAAAACCCGCCCACCCACCCCCCCCCGCCAAACCCCCACGCACCTCTGCAAACCGCCTTGAAGGCAGCAGGTCAGCAAGCGCCAGGCACGCAGCCTCCCTGTTCCGCCACAACCTCCCCGTAACATTCCCCAGCAGGTCATTCACAATCCCGTCGAAGTGCTTGTCGATGGTGGGCTTGGGCTCGCGCACGAGCGCGCGCCAGATGTGCCCGGCGGCCTCTGCGAGGGGGCGGTTGGGGTCGTACATCATGCGCAGCAGGCGCGGCAGCAGCGCTGGCAGGTGCGGCTCCAGGGCTGCGCCGGCTTCTGCTGCCACTGCTGCGAAGCTGAAGGCCGCGCCACGGTTGGAGTTGAGGGCCGCCTGGAGGGAGGTGGTTGGGGAGTAGGGGGAGGGAGGTGGGAGGGAAGAGGGCGTGGTGGCAAGAGGGAGTAACGGAAGGTGGGAAGTTGAGTTATGGGGTATGGTCAAGATGCGGTTGGTTTGTACGGTTGGAACATGGAGCGATTGGCAGCAAGATCTTGCTGCGTGTGTCTGTCAGGACACAACAAGCATGTTGCCTCCGTTCCCTTTCTAACCCCCATGCGTGCTTCTCCCTTTCTGCCTGACCACCCAGCGTAACCCCAGCGTTTCCAGCTGCCCTTCTTCCACCGCCTCTTCCTCCCTCAACCCAACGCACCCCGCCTCTCCTCCCGCAAGCGATTGCCAAGACAAGAACGTCCCACGTGGTGATTGATGATGTGTGTGCATGTGGGGGTCAATGCTCGCTCCTCCCCACACTCCCGCACTGCTGCTCCACTCATTCAACCACTCCCTGCGTTGCGTTTCCCTCCCTGCAAACTCGTCCCTCCACTTCTCCATCTCGAATGCAGCACAGCACAGAACGCACGTGGTGGTTGGCAATATCCATGAGGCGGTAGATGAGGTCGGGCTGCCCCATGTCCGTGGCCACACTGCACAGCTCGCGGTACGTGCTCACGCCCACGCTGCTCTGCGCCCGCCCCGCTGAGCTCGCCGCGCTGCTGCTGCTGCCCGCCGCCCCCGCTCGCATGGACGAGGAGGAGGAGGTGTTGCGCGCCACTGAGTCCTCTGTGAATACCTCTGTGTCGCCCAGTAGCTGTTGGGGGGGAAAGGGGAGTGGGGGGAGACAGAGGAAGGGGAGTACAGAAGGGGGTTGATGGGAGAATGGGTAATAGGGTGCTGAGGGAAGGGAAGGTGGAAAATGAGAGGAAAATGCAAGAGGGTATGCACAGGGACTGTTCACTTACCGCGATCCACTCACTTCCCCTCTCCCGCCTCTCACCTTGCCACTGCGCTTGTGCCCGCCAGCACCAGTGAGGTTAGCAACAAGGGCCGAGACGAGCAGCTGCTTGGTGCTGGCGTCGCCCAGCGTGTACATGCGAGACATGGCACGGGACGCCATCTCCTGTGTCAGCTCGTTGGAGTCGCCCAGCAGTGCGCTGAACGCATCCTGGAAGGTCGTGGTGCGAGCAGGGGGGTGGGTGGGTGGGTGGGTGGTGTAAAAAAGGTGGTTATGTATGCAGTGCTTTCCCAGCCGTGAAGACTCTGCGCTGAACGCATCCTGGTAGGTAGTGGTGGTGAGAGCAAGGGGGTGAGTGGGTTGGCGATGGAAGGTGGGTGGTAATGCAGTGCATGCAATACTCTTGAGATCGTCCAGCAGTGCACTCAACTGAACGCGCCCTGGTGGTGGCGGTATGTGGGGAAGGGACGTGGGTGGGTGGGTGTTCGGGCAGTGGGAGGCAGGTGGTTATGCAGTGCATGCATCACGCTCAGCATTGCATGCATACACGGTGGAAGGAGGATGGGTGGCCGTGCTGGTGTCTCTAATAAGAAGTTCCATATTTTAGCAGTGCGCAAACTGTATCTCTCACGCGGGTGTGATGGTGGTGCGTGCGAGCAGCCGGTGGGCGATGGAAGGAGGGTGGTGGTATGGTAATGACGGGATGCAAGGGCAAAGAGGCATGTTTTTCCTGCTCTGCAGGCCTTGTGAATGATGTCGGGCAGGGGCTTCCCTTCCTTTCCCTGCATGACTTATGTGCGGCCCCTAGCAGCACCCACACATGGATGCACTGCGTGCATGCATGCAAAACACAGCTGAGCTGACGTCTAGGGGCGGAGCAGAGGAATAGGAAAGCTGGGCGTTTGGAGGTGAGGCAGCAGGTGGCTTTAGAGTTGACTAAAATAACGGGGACTCTCCTAAGTTGATTTGATTCACGGGCAGAGGGAAGGGAAGCAGAGCACCTGGAGCTGCGGCAGCAGGCGTTGAATGGACGCGTGGTGGCCGCAGAAGGAGAGCAGGGACATGATCCACACGGCCCCCGCACACCGCTCCTCACTGCGGCTGCTCACCAGCAGCTCCTCCACCAGCACCTTCCTCATGCTCTCCCACCGCGCCTCCATTGCTTCGCCTCCCCACACCCTCTCGCTTCCCTCTCCTTCCTTCCTCCCCTCGCCTGCTGAGGTCTCCTGCCCCCCTTCCCCCATCACCACATCTTCTGCCACAGCCTGCTCTTCCTTCTCTCTTCCCGCCGCTTCTCCTGCTGCTGTTCCTCTTCCACCCTGCCCACCCGCCGTCCCCTCCCCTTCCCCTCCACTCGCATCACGCATCTGCACGTCTGCTTCCTTCTGTGGGCGGCGCGCTTTGTTCTGTAGCGCGGCAGCAGCAGCGTCGTCGGCGTCATTGAAGATGGGGGCGAGGGAGGAGTGCGGGCCGGAGAGCAGCAGCGAGGGGCGGAAGGGAGGGCAGTCCACCGGCCCCCACACGAACGCCAGCGCCTCGCCTGCTGCTAGCAACGTCGCCTCGTTCTGCAGGCGAGGGGAGGGATGCAGGGAGGAAGAGATGAGGGCGAGGGAGGAGTGAGGGCCGTAGAGCAGCAGGGTGCGGAAGGGAGGGCAGTGAAATAGACCCCACACAAACGCCAGCGCCCCGCCTGCTGCTAGCAATGTCGCCTCGTTCTGCAAGCGAGGGGAGGGAGGCAGGGAGATAGGGAGGAAGATATGAGGGCGAGGGGGAGTGAGGGCCGGACGGTGCAGAAAGGTAGTGAAAGGGTGTGTATGGCAAAACAAGTGAGAGACTTGGGAGGGTGATGAGGGGGGATTTGATCCAAGTATTGCCCTCTCTCCGTTTCATCCTGTCGAAACATAACCACCCCACCACCCCCACCCCGCTTACCCCTCCTCTACCTTCTCCCACCCCATCTCCGCCCCATTCCTGCCCCATCCCCACCTATCCTCCCTCTCCCTTATCTGACCTTGCATCGTGAGAGCGTGAGCAGGGCAGTGAGAGCAGAATCGGCGACGCCCTGAGGGTCGCCATAGCTCATCATGCCCAGCGCCGCTGCTGCACTCTGCACCACCTTGTCGTCCCTGTGTGACAGTAACGACGCCAGCTGCTCCACAACATCCCCCCTCTTCCTCTTCTTCCGCCCCTCCTCCTCCCCACTTGCTGCCGCCTCCCCACCCCCGCCACTCTTCCCCCCATCCCCCCCACCGCCCTCCTCTCCCACCGCCCCACTCGCAGTACCCTCAGTTGCTGCTTCATCCTTATGGGAGGAGGAGGAGGAGGTGGAGGAGGAGGGGGGCGGGAGGGGGCCTGTGAGGCCTATGAGGCCCAGGGCTTGCGCGGTGAGGGCGAGGGTGGAGGGCGCAGAGGAGGGGGAGAGCAGGCGGGAGAGGAGCAGATCCACGGATGCTGCTCGCTGCAGTGGCGGAGGGGAGGGAGAAGAAGGGGGAGAAGGGGGAGAAGGGGGAGAAGGGGGAGAAGGGGGAGAAGGGGGAGAAGGGGGAGAAGGGGGAGAAGGGGGAGAAGGGGGAGAAGGGGGAGAAGGGGGAGAAGGGGGAGAAGGGGGAGAAGGGGGAGAAGGGGGAGAAGGGGGAGAAGGGGGAGAAGGGGGAGAAGGGGGAGAAGGGGGAGAAGGGGGAGAAGGGGGAGAAGGGGGAGAAGGGGGAGAAGGGGGAGAAGGGGGAGAAGGGGGAGAAGGGGGAGAAGGGGGAGAAGGGGGAGAAGGGGGAGAGGGGGAGAAGGGGGAGAAGGGGGAGAAGGGGGAAGGGGGAGTGGGGTGGGAGGGGGAACGGGGGCACGGGTGACAAGTGTGGAAAACAGAAGTGGAGAGAGAGCGAGAGAGAGGGTGTGACGGCGGAAGAAAGAGGCATGCTGGTTCAAAGGGGGAGGTGTGTAAGGCAATGGTGTAGGCAGCTCAAGGATGGTATGCACGGTGAAACAGGGGAGTGGATGGATGATGCAAGACAGAAGGAAGCTACACTGCCATTGTTGCAGCACGTTTCTACACCATCAGCCAGGGTGTGAAGACGTCGTGCAGTGAGCAGCACACACGACAGGTACACGAAAATAGAGTGCTGAAGTGCGGTGTGTGAAAGGGGGACTCACCCCAGCCGCGTCAGCAGCTGTGGCTGTGACATAACCCAGCGCTGCTATCAGCCCCTGCAACTCCTCCTCCCTACCACCGCGACGCGCACACACGCACAGCACAGTAGCATGGCGGACGCAGGGAGAGAAGAGCGAACGATACGTTGGTAGGATGAGCAACAGCAAGGCGTGCCAATGCAGGAAAGGAGAGGTTCGGATGGAGAAAGAGAGGAGAGACAAGGAGAGGTGGAGACAGACCAGGAGGAGAGGGAGACAACAACACAGCAACAACAACACGACCCCCAGCCATCACCATCCACCCGCACTCACTTGATTCCCGCCTTCCCGCCCTCATTTGCCAGGCCGCCCTGCAGCTTGAGCAGCAGCGCGTGGGCGTGAGGTGCAGGCAGCCCCTTCGCCACAACACCCATGAGCTTGGCAAACGCTGCTCGCACTGACGGGTCGTTGTGCGACAGGAAGCGCTGCAGCCATGGCAGACGCGCAGAGAAGCGCGTGGCGAGCTGGAGGGGAGGATGGGGGGGAAGGAAGTGGGGGAGGGGGGAGTGGGGGAGGGAGTGCAGGGACGGGGAGATGGGAGTGGGAGAGGGACGATGAAAGGGGGAAGCGGAGGGGGCGACGTGAAAAGAAGGGAGAACGGAGGGGTAAAAAAGAGGGGAGAACGTTTTGATGTCCTCTGAAATTGCCACCTTCTTCCTTCCTGCGCCTGTCGCCTCTTCTCCTCCATTCTTCCCCCTTCCTTCCACTCTGCCCACCTCCTCTACTCGCCGACCCTTCGCCTCGCCTACCCCCACGCCACGGTCCTCTCCCCCATGGTCAAGCCGACAATACTTCCAAGGTTGGCTACAAATTCATCTCACCTGGGGATGGGCAGCAACTATTTCCAGCAGCGCCCTGCCCGCCTCCGCGTGAACCTCCCACGTGGCATCACGTGCAAACCCATGCTCCACAAACACACACAGCCGCTCCTCCACCGATCCCGCCTCCGCGCCCCCCTCTGCTTTCGCCTCTGCACTCTCTTCTGCTTTCTCCTCTACTTTCTCCTTCCCTTTCTCCTCACCACTACTCCCACCAACCTCACCCTTTCCTCCTTCCTCTTCCCCCGCCCCTCCCTCCTTCTCCCCCTGCCCCGCTCCCCCCTTTCCCCGGCGCTCCTCGCGCCAGCACAGCAGCAGGAAGCGAATGGCGGAGAGGAACGCAGCAGGGGGCAGCAGCAGGGACTGTTCGCCCTCCAAGGGCACGGGTGCTGCTGCTTTGGGCTTCTGCTTGCATATGAACGCGAGCAGGGATGAGAGAGGGGGCGGTGGGGAGGCAGAGGCGGAGGAGGAGGAGGAAGAGGAGGCGTAAGCTGGGGAGGGCGTGGAGAGGGGAGAGGGGGAAGAGGTGGCGGTGGGCTTTTTGGTGCGTGTGTCTGCTTCTGCGAAGAGGAAGCGTTGGGCCGCCTCCCTGGAAGATGGGGATGGGAATGGGAATGGGGACTTGGAATTTTAGACAGTTTCAGAGAATGGCGAGGTGAGAGCTCGTATGGGGGAATAGATTTGAGTCATGTGGGAGTGTGCGAGATGTGAAGGGGACGTGAGTGCTGCAGCGGGTGAACGAGTGCATGTGCGAGCAACAAACTGACTCCGTGCAACTTGAACCACGCCCACGAGCTGACTTATGAGTCGACTCTAGAGTCAACCACGTCCACGAAGCTTTCCCCAGCTGGACAAGAACCATTCAGGGCTGTAAGGCCCTTCCTGTGTGGTTGGTTCCCCTGCGTGTGGTTGGCACTGACTTGATCTCGGTTTTGTTGTCAGCCGTAGCTAGCACGGCGAGGAAGCAGGCAGGAGCAGAGGAGAGCGAGAGCAGGCGCATGGTCCACTGCAATGTGCAGTACCGCACCGCCTCCACTGGCTGGAGGCGAGGAGAGGGGTGGGGTGGAGTGGAGTGGGGTGGAATAAGGTTGAGTTGAGAAGATGAGAAAAATGCAGCAGTAATGTGCATGTCCATGGAGAATGGAGGGTTCATGCAAAGTTGTGGAGACGGACGAAGAGAGAAAATGGATGGGGATGAGGTGAGGAAGAGGCAGGCAGGGGGAGGGAAAGAGGAGAAGCTGATTGTGAATCGAGATAAAAAGCAGAAACGTGTGAAGGCATGAAATGAAGTGTCAAAGTGAAATGCCTAGGTCAAAGGTCGTTGCCAAACCCCACCATGCCAAACCCCACCATGCCACACCCCACCATGCCACACCCCACCATGCCACACCCCACCATGCCACACCCCACCATGCCACACCCCACCATGCCACACCCCACCATGCCACACCCCACCATGCCACACCCCACCATGCCACACCCCACCATGCCACACCCCACCATGCCACAGCACAGCACAGGCGGGCACCGACAGAGGAGCAGTGCTTGAGCAGCAGGGCCTCAACGGACGCCAGCACCTTTCCTGGTACTTTACGTAAACATCATGATTGCTGCCACATAAAGTCATCGCACCTAACTGGGGCGCACTAGGACACCCCACCAGAACCAGGCACTCACAGAGGAGCAGTGCTTGAGCAGCAGGCCCTCAACAGACGCCAGCACCTTGGGTGAACAGCCCTGTGAGGGGGTGGGGGTTGGCGAGGGAGAGAGGAGAGGGACGCGCAGAACAGACAAAAAGGTCAAGAAATGAGGGAGGGGAACGGGTTAGAGTGAGAGCTATTTGTGCTCTGAGCATGGTTCACATCACATCACACACCATGGCAGCAACCTTCTGTGCCGTGTAGGGTGGAAGTGACGTTTGAATGAACTCAGGGAACGTTCCCGGCCGGTGTCAAACTTCGGGCCAGGCTGCTTGACACGAGGTGGAATAGACAGGCATGGGGCAAAATCGTTTCTTCGTGTCAGACCCCCCTGGGAAGCCTGACACCAAGCAAACTTGGCCCAAAGTTTGACACCGGCCAGGAACGTTCCCTCAGTCATGGATAAACATCAAAGTCACCCACTTCTACCAAAGGCAATGCAGGGAGGGACCATGCTACATTGCCATGCCCACCAAGAAGCCATGGCATGGCACGTAGGAAAAACCACTCCATCCTACATACACATTATGAGCTGGCGAACAGCCCTGCTGGTTTCAGGTGCTGCCAGTTTCAGGTGTGTCCCAGAACCATACACTGACTGTGGGCTGTGCTGCAAGAGGTGTGAGGTGTGAGGGGTGAGGCGTAAGGTGTGAGGTGTGAGGTGTGTGAGGCGCATGGGGAGGAAAGGAGAGGCGCACCTTGTAAGCGGATGCGAGGGAGAGCAGTGCGTCCTGCATGACCACTCGCAGCGATGGCGACTCACATGCCTCCAGCGCCACCAACATGCGCTCACACATGCTCGCATCCCCCCTGCCATGCCACCATACCATGCCATGCCATGCCATTCCATGCCATGCCATGCCATGCCATGCCATATTCGGGATTGAAGAGATTGATAAATTTACCAATGAATGTCGATTAAGGCCAGTGGGGAATGACAGGAGCAACGGCATGGCGAAAGGGGAATATTAATAAGACCCAGGAGAGGAAGGGGGGACAGTGACGGGAAGGGGGCGGATGGACGAAAGAGGAAAGGGGAGAGAGAGGGGTTTAGGGGAGTGCGATTCTGAAAGGAGGCGGGAGGAGGGCGGCAGACCTGACAAGGAAGGGGCAGCGCTCTGCCAGCTGGGCGATGGCTCGATACGTGAACGCCTGCAGCTGCTGCGATGGCGGGTCTGCACGGGGCCATGCATACAGGCACGAGGTGTTCAGGAGTGAGAAAAAAGAAGAGGGGGGGGGGAGGGGGGCGGGGGAGTGGTAAGCCGCGCATAGGCGCGCAGAAGGCAGGGCAGGGGTATTTTAAGGGGAGTGGGCTGCAGATCTAAATGGACCTGGCTTGGCCGCGCCCAGCGTCCCATGCGCTAGATAACGTAGCGTATATACGCTGGACTCTTGCTGTCCAGAGCATGTATGTTTACGTTGGAGCGTCTCCTAGGTGCAGCGCTTCAGCAACATCAAGGCGAGCAAGGGCAGCTCAATTCTGTCGCTAAGGCACCTCAATTACAGAGCTTCCCCATCCCATCCTTCCCCTCCACATACACTCACCCAGTTCCTCACTAACATCATATTGAGGGAGCAGCTTGAGACTGCTTTTGAGGCGCCAAAGAAACGGACCCGCTCCCCCCCCCCCCCCCCCCCCCCCACACGCACACACTCACCCAGTGCCTCAGTAAAATTATATGGAGAGAGCAGATTGAGACTGCTTTTGAGGCGCCTAAGAAACACACACTCCCCACCCACCACCCCCCCGCCCGCTCCCTCCCTCCCTCTCCTTTTCCCTTGTTCACTCACCCAAAGACTCAGTAGCGTCGTACTGCGAGAGCAGCTTGAGCAACGAGGAGAGGATGACTGGCGACAAGGGCCGCAGCCGCTCCTCCTTCGCCTGGTGGTGGCAGGGAGGGTGAGGCACAGGGGTATGGGGGCAGGGAGGCAGAGCAGAGGGGGTGCGGAGGGAGGGAGAGGGAAGGTGAGGGGCATGCAGGTGCAGACTGCAGTGGCTAGGTGATAGACGTGTGCATGTGCATGGTCGTAGAGGCAAGCAGGTAGCATAGCATGTATGCACAGGCGAGCGTGAATAGGGCGATCAGTAGCAAGGAGCAAGGAGTAGCAGCACAGCACGCACATGCTTGAAGACCCAGACGGCAAACTCCATGCCCAGTTGCTTGCTGCGCGTTGATGCACCCACTCCTGCACCATACCGCCCATGCACACACACACAGGAGAGCGCACACAGCCATGGCACGCATACAAGAAGTTTTTTTCAGACGTCTCAAAAGATGCAACCACACCTGTACCATATCACCCGTGCACACACACACAGGAGGGCACACAGGCATGGCACGCCGCACGCAAACAAGGTCAGGATGTGCGGTGGTCCCAGACAGACACGTATAGCACAGCACACTTGTTGAGTCGACTAGAAGAGCAAGCATAGGCATACCACAGCGTGGCATCCATGCATGCAACGCAAAAAGCTCATGAGGGAACGAGAAGGAGCATGCTGCAGTCACCGCCCCACCCCAACCTGACACCAGTGGCCCTGCCACTGCCAGTGCTCACACTCAGCCGTGGACTTGTTAGAAGCACCGGCGTTGGCCCATTGCCACACGAGCAGGCTCCCAGCAAGTCACGGGTCACGGGTCACGGGTCATGGGTCATAGGTCATAGGTCACAGCTTATGGGTTACACACAGTTCAACCACACCACCCCTCATCCCCCCTTTGCTTCCCTCCTCCCCAGAGCCCAACCCCCCCACACAGTACCATAGATGGCATCGAATATGACGTGCAGTGTGCCTGGGAACGCGTTGGCGGCAGCAACGGAGCGCACAAACGCGCCCAGCAGCCGCAGCTTCACTGCTGCTGACGCTGCTGGCACTGCTGCCGCTGCCGCCGCTGCTGTCTGCGGCTGCTTGGGGTCGGAGGAGGGGGTGCCTGGTGGGGGTGTGAGTGGGAATGGGTGGAGAGGGATGAAGAGGTTTGTGATGGGATGACAAAGTCAGCGTGGGGTGACAAGGTGGTATACGAATTGGATGAGAAGGACGGAAGGCAAACATGGGAGGAGAGCAGCATGGGAGGAAAGTAGAGCAGGGAACATAGGATGAGGAAATTTCGCCGGTTTTCAAGATTATTACAAGTGACTGGGATAATCCGATACGGCACGGCAGTGGCCGTGGTTGATTGTAGCGGGTACGTGGGTGGGTGGGTGGGGCGGAAGAGCAGATGACCTTGGTAGAAGCGCATCATGGCAGCCACGAGCCTGTCGTCCTCCAGGTCCACTGCACCCCCATGCCGCTTCATCAGCTCCTCCCCCCGCCGGTTCACCCGCTCGTTGCTGCACGCATGGGAGATGAGCGAGGGGGGGAGAGGGGGAAGAGAAGGGGGGAACGATGAAGGGAAGAATGATAACCATGAGCATGAGGGGGGAATGAGAACGATGAAGGGGAGAAGGACAACCATGCATGCTCGTGTAGGAAAATGGAGCGAGTTAGAGAGAGAGAACCTTGCAAGAAGGGAGATCCATCCTCCCAACCGATACTCGTTCCCACCCACCACACCGTCGTCCACCACTTCACCCCCATCTCCCCCATTCCCCCTAATCCCTCCATACCCCCCAATCGCCCTCCACCCACCCACCCCAGCGGCATAGGCGCACCTGTCAGTGGCGGCAACGAGCCAGAGCAGGTAGCACGCATGGGCGGGCGCCTTGATGCCCGCCAGGAAGTTCAGCACCGCCACCTGGGGTCAACAAGGGGGCGAGGGGGAAGGGGTAAGGGGCCGAGGGGGGTGAAGGAGGAGGGGAAGAGGGTGAGAACTGGAAGAGGAAGACGGTGAAGGAGAGTGCGTGAAGCCGGGTGGACGATTTTAGCAGCGGCAAAACTGGACAAAAATAATGACAGAATTATATTTTAGCAGATTCTGGCAAATGTCTAGCGGAAGCCAGTGTAGAAGATTTCGGTAACGGGAAAATCCCGACTTGCCTAACAGGATTTCACCAAAAAACGTTGATAGGGAGAACATTCATCAGTTTACGTAAGCCAAACCGTGCGTACCTTCCTCTGAGCCACAGCGTCAGGCGGAATGAGGTTGAGCGCAGCAAGGGAAGCCGGGGGTGCAGGGGAGGCAGCAGAGGAGGAAGGCGCGGGGCCAAGCACTCGGTGCAACTGGGCGAGGGACAAACCGGGGTGGTCGGAGAGAGGAGGCCTGTATAGAGCGTGGCAGAGGGAATGGGAGCGAAGGGGGGCAGGAAGGGAGGTGGGGAGATGGGGGAGATTGAAGGGGAGGGTGCCATGGGCCGATGGATGCACACTCTCACACCCACATACCCCCGAACCCAAACATCCCTTCCACTCACACATGCCCCCACCCACACAACCCCTCACACCCTCTCACACACTCACCCCTTCACCCCCAATTACCCCCTCACCGACCCACTCAATCCACACACCCCCTTCACCCCCCACACTCACTGCGCTGGTCCGCCCTGCTGCCCTGCCACATTCGCCTCTGCCCCCGCACCTCCTGCCCCCACTGCTGCTCCTCTCCCCCCTGCCACCAGCCCTGCTGCTGCTCCCGCCTGACTCTGTGCCCCTCCTGCAGTGGCCGCAGCAGCAGCCGCAGCGGAGAGAGAGGCCGGCAGCAGCATCACCTGCAGGCAAAACTCCAGCCACACAGCCATGTCCGGATTCGGGGCAGCACTTGCAGCAGCAGCAGCAACAGCCTTCCCTGCTGCCCCTGCGCCTGTGCCTACTGCCTCAGCTGCGTCTGTCTTGCCCCCCGCCGCCTCTCCTGCCTCTGCCGCACCACCTGCCGCTGCCACCTTAGACGATTCAGCTGCACCAGCAGCAGCAGCAGCAGCAGCAGGCGAGGAGACGAGCCAGGAGAAGGTAGCAGCGAGCTGCTGTTCCTCAGGCCCCGACCCCACGCCTCTCGGCGACCCATAGCGCAGCAGCCCCTGCAGCGCGCACCGCAGCAGCATGTCCTGGTGCGCTGCTGCGCGCGAGGCTATTCCCCGCAGCAGCACCGGCACCGCCGCCGCCTGCTCCTCTGGTGTTGCGCGCTGAAACGCCATGTCTGTGTATACCAGCGCGAAGCTCGCCGTGAGGGGGTGCGGGGAAGACAGCAGGGGCGCGGAGGGAGTGGTGGTGGTGGTGGTGGTGGTGGTGGGGGTGGGGGTGGTGGAAGGGGCGGGTGTGGTGGTGGCTGTGGCGGAGCAGTAGATGGCGAGGAGGTCGGAGAGAGGGAGGTGGATGGCGGACGCCCCGCGCACGCGCTTGTTGATGTGCGCTAGCATCTCCATCACCTGGTGCCGTGCCCGGGGTCGCAGAGGGCAGAGAGACCCGGGAGCAGTGGTGGGGTGCGGTGGGTTGTGTTTGCAGTGGGCGGGGAGCGAACAGGGAGGGTAGAGGCACACAGAGGTGAAGGGACGAAAGGGGGGAGGGAAGTAAGTTTTAGGGGAAAGGATGGTGGAGGCGGAAGAGGCGGAAGAGGCGGAGGAAGAAGAGGAAGAGGAGGAGGAGGAGGAGGAGGAGGAGAGGGAAGGATGAGATGTAAAGTGGATGGATCTGAGAATCCTCATTCCAAATGAAAGCAGGGAAGGAGAAGGATGGACATCACACACAAAGGGCGGAGGCGACGGATGAAGGGTCGAAGTAAGAGAACCGGATGTGATCTCACGTGATTCCGTGCCATCTCATGCCACCTCACATGCTGTCAACGTCTCCTCTCCCTCTCCCCGTTTAGCGCTACCCGAGCAATCGGCTTCTCTGCAACCCCTGGTGCGCGCACAGCGGCACAACCCGGAATTCCCCCCTCACCCGCCATTCAACCTAATCCTGCACTTATCCGTGCCTCCCTCCCGTCAATCAGTCACCCAATCGCCGTGAATCAACTGCATCTACCACGTGACCACATCCGCGTCTTGGAAGGAGATTAAACAAGTTCTCCACCTCCCATCCCCCACCCCACTCCTCCCACCCCTTTCCTACCTCCCCGCGTGCCAGCTCGCCCCTTTCCCACCCCTTTACTCCTTCCCGCGCGGCCTCTCACCTTCTTCCGCGACGCCTCGTGCGGCGAGGCGAGGCGGGAGATGGCGAGCGGGAGAAGCTTCGAGAGAACCTTCTCGAGTTTAGCGTCTTCCGTCAGCGCCAGCCGCGTCAGCAGCCGGTCCAGTCCGGCCACCTCCTCCGCCACGCTCGCCGCGCCGCCAGCGCCGGCGCCGGAGTTACTATTGCTCATTATGGCGTTCGGGAATTGGTCTAAGCTACGGGTCGAGCGGCTGATTATACAGAGGGGACGAACAGCAGGAAGCCTTTGGGCGAATCTAGATCGGCGCGGCGCGGCGCACTCTGGTCCAGGAGCTCTGATCCCCTTCGCTTTTTAAACGACTAAAAAAACCGGGAGCTCCGATCCTCGAGCTCGCACTAATGATTCGTCCTCGCCTGACAGGATCGGCTCGCGTTGATCCGTGAACCTGCGATCCAGTGACGATGCAATTGCCAACCCAATGCGGTCGCAGTTTGAATTTTGTTAGATGGTGAGATGTGAAGAGTCGCAGAGGCGAGAGCGGGGTGATGGTTGCTTGCACGGCAGCTTGGAATTCCGCAAGAAGTCGCGGGAAGGAATTTCGAAATACGCGTTACTCGCTAAAGCTGTGCGCCACGAATTCGATCAATGAGCAGAAAATATCGAATCTATATACGTGCGTAGCAGCTCTAGTTGGTTCCATTGCACAGCCAGAACCATGCACCATATCAGCATGGAGCACCAGAATTAGAAACTCCAATCAACCTAAAAGGTCAAAATCAACATCAACTAAATCAAAAGGTATAGGGTATGCGAGCGAGGCTGGTTCCACCAGCTGAGAAGCTTACAATCCACAGGACACAAGCAGATGCTGTAACTATTGTTTCTGATCTGCACTTTGTTGTTGTTGCTGCTGCTGGTGCGCTTGTTGGCGTGACATGCAGACCTTCAGGGAACGAACCTCTGGGAGCAGAAGGAAACCACAGAGAGCAGGAAAACACAGAGAGCAGGAAAACACAGAGAGCAGGAAAACACAGGCTCCACATGGACATGGTTGGATGGAGGAGACATGGAAGCGGGTGAGAGATACACAAGAAAACGACTGGGATTTCTGGGAGGAGACAGGATGATGATTGGGGGATGGTTGCAGAGGTACAGAAAAGAAGGTGCAGTCAGGCGTTCTCTTTGCGGGGCTCACCTTCCTGGCATTTCCTCCAGTCCCTGTCGTGCTCCACTAGGCAGTTCTGCACAGCGCATGCCAGCACAGCAACACACCGCTCACGTAAGCACAGAAACACAGCAGCAAAGCGCACACGGCACATGGCATACAGCACGCATTTGCTTGTGCGGGCGAGGTTAGGAATCACATCACAAGCCAGGAGCTGGTCCGTCACCTGCACGCGCGCTGGGCGGGGAACACGGATGGGGATAGGAGACGCGAAGCAGCGTGACAGAGTGCAGATCGGAGGAGGGCTTGTCCAGAACGTGGAAGGCAAGATGATATGATCGTCATTGTGTTTCCACGGTGGTGGGTGCTCGTTCCTTCCATCACCCCCTCGTTACTCCGCTCCCGCATTGCGCCTAACGAACCCACGCGGAGAGGATCCACTATATACCGCGAATAAACCCCCCTTTCCTTGCGCTTCCCAGTCGGACCGCTCTGGCCGCCGCTCCCAGTCGCCTCGAACGCCGAGAGATGTGGACGCGAGGAGAAGAGCATAAGGACGGTCTGGAGGAAGAGCATAACGACTCGCGGTTTGGCGGGAAGCACGGGAGACAGGGGAGGAGAGGAGAAGGGAGGAGAGGAGAAGGGAACAGAGGCGGCACCTCGAGGCGGACGTAGAGGCGGCTGCAGTCCTGTAACTGCTCCACCATGGGGTCTAGCTCCTCGCCCTCCTCGCCCGTCGTCACCCGCGTGTGCGCGTGCCCTGGTGCCGCCGACATGGCGGGTGTGTTGCCGTTTTGCGCGCACCCACGCGAGAGTCGCGGGTTGCTGTGATCGTGATTGTGATTGGCGCGCCTCGAGTGTGGTCGAAGGGTGTCGCAGCGTTCCCTTGATAAACAGACTCGCGACAAGTAAGAGAAGCTTGCTATCACATGCTACAAGGATCACTTTGCAAGTTTACATGGATACAAGTGCTTGATTTCGATTCCAGGTACCGTAGAATAAATACTGCGAATTATAACTGCTGAAGAAACAATTATATAATACATGCAATGAATTATCCATCTTTCTCCAGATCTTTAGCTGCTGTTTGACGTCTGCCAAAAAATGACCATACCGTACCATACTCTTTCTACAAGCACAAATTTAAGAACGGATATTCTCTCCATCAGCCTCTCAAGTTCCACAGCTTCCATCCACCCCGTCGCCTGCATAACATCACATCACACTGAAGCCACATCCTTCACCTTGCGCCCCGCAGGCGCACCGACTGCAGCGAGCCCATCCTCACCGTCCGTTCCAGGCACACTGCCGCCATCGCCCGGGACACACACTTCACTGTGAATACCCAGAGGCAGGAGACTGTCCCCCAGCTCCTCCACATACGACGCCCAGTCCTGCGCCCCCTCCTCCGCCCCCTCGTCTTCTCCTCCCTCATCCCCCTCACCGCCTTCCTCCGAGGGGCCTTCTGAGCAGCCCTCCTCAAGCACCTCCGACCTGAGGGGGGGGACACACCCGGGGAGGAGGGGAGGAGACTGCGAGGTGAGAGGGCACTACTTTCGAGGCGCCTCAAAAACAGACTCAAGCCTTGTCCAGCACCTTCGTCCTGAGGGAGGGGTGCAGAGCAGGGAGGGGGGACTGAGGGGAGGAGACTGTGACGCGAGGGGATGTGAAGTGGGAGGTGACTCAAGCAGGAGAATATCACAGCAAAATGCAGCTCGGCTGTCACCCGCCCTCGTGACCAGTCCGCACTTTCGACCTTGCCACTCCTGCCCCTCAACCCTTGGCCGCATTACCACTTGCTTCCCTTCCCACCCTCTCGCCTCTCCTCTTCTCTGTCACCCCTGACCCCACAGCTTTCCTCCCTCCTTTCCCTGTCCACACGCACCGCAGCAGCAGGCCGCCATGGCATTGGACCCAGTCGGCAATGAGGGAGCGCACGAGCAGGTTGTCCTGCAGGTGCGTGTGCGGTAAGGGGCGCCCCGTGCGTGGAGACACGCTGTGCTGCTGCACCCACTGCTGCATGGCCGCTCGCTCGTACGTGTGCCCGTCCGCTGCTATTACTGGCCACTGCATCAGCTCCTGTTCATGGCACGGTGGGAAAGAAGCAGGTTGGAGAGGGAAAAAAGGGGAGGGAGGAGGGATAGAAGAAAGTAGAGGATGAATGTGGTGGGTCAACAGCGCTGCATAGGTACCAACAGGTAAACCAGCGCAGGAAGGCAAAACACCACTGTCGGTTGATTGAACAAGTCAGGTTGAATGTCGAGCAGGCTCGTCCCGTGCTATCATCACCACAATAACAATCATCATCATCATCATCATCGTCGTCGTCGTCGTCACCACCACCACCACCACCACCACCACCACCACCACCACCACCACCACCACCACCACCACCACCACCACCACCACCACCACCACCACCACCACCACCACCACCACCACCACCACCACCACCACCACCACACCACCACCACCACCACCACCACCACCACCACCACCACCACCACCACCACCACCACCACCACCACCACCACCACCACCACCACCACCACCACCACCACCACCACCACCACCACCACCACCACCACCACCACCACCACCACCACCACCACCACCACCACCACCACCACCACCACCACCACCACCACCACCACCACCACACCACCACCACCACCACCACCACCACCACCACCACCACCACCACCACCACCACCACCACCACCACCACCACCACCACCACCACCACCACCACCACCACCACCACCACCACCACCACCACCACCACCACCACCACCACCACCACCACCACCACCACCACCACCACCACCACCACCACCACCACCACCACCACCACCACCACCACCACCACCACCACCACCACCACCACCACCACCACCACCACCACCACCACCACCACCACCACCACCACCACCACCACCACCACCACCACCACCACCACCACCACCACCACCACCACCACCACCACCACCACCACCACCACACCACCACCACCACCACCACCACCACCACCACCACCACCACCACCACCACCACCACCACCACCACCACCACCACCACCACCACCACCACCACCACCACCACCACCACCACCACCACCACCACCACCACCACCACCACCACCACCACCACCACCACCACCACCACCACCACCACCACCACCACCACCACCACCACCACCACCACCACCACCACCACCACCACCACCACCACCACCACCACCACCACCACCACCACCACCACCACCACCACCACCACCACCACCACCACCACCACCACCACCACCACCACCACCACCACCACCACCACCACCACCACCACCACCACCACCACCACCACCACCACCACCACCACCACCACCACCACCACCACCACCACCACCACCACCACCACCACCACCACCACCACCACCACCACCACCACCACCACCACCACCACCACCACCACCACCACCACCATCACCACCATCACCACCATCACCACCATCACCACCATCACCATCATCACCATCATCACCATCATCACCATCATCACCATCATCACCATCATCACCATCATCACCATCATCACCATCATCACCATCATCACCATCATCACCATCATCATCATCATCATCATCATCATCATCATCATCATCATCATCATCATCATCATCATCATCATCATCATCATCATCATCATCATCATCATCATCATCATCATCATCATCATCATCATCATCATCATCATCATCATCATCATCATCATCATCATCATCATCCATCCCCCCTCCCGTCTCACCATGGTAATGGGGCATCGGAACCCATCAGGCACCTGCACGCCCGACCGCGTCGCCGCACTCCCCACCACGCCACCCCCACCTCGCCCATACCCCCCCACCCCGCCACCCCCACCGCCACCGCCACCGCCACCCCAGAAGTCATCTTTCAGCAGTCCCAGGTCGCGCTGCTGCTTGGCGGCGCGCATGACAGCGGGTTTCATCTCCGCCAGCATGGCCATCACGTCTCTTGACAGGTCCGGCCGCTCCTTGCGCTTGAACGCTGCGCACCGCCGTGCGATCTCCACCAGCCGCATCGCCACCCCCGGCGGCCACGTGCCAGCCGTCGGGTCCAGCAACCCCTGTAACCGCTCCACATCCCCCGCCGCCACACACGACTCCAGCGCCTCTAAGGCCGCCACGCGGTCCCCCACGTGCCTGCGCGCCGCCCCCCCTGCTCCCCCCCCTTCTCCTCCCGCGGGTTTCTTAGAGGTGTCGATTCCGCGGAGCATGTCGAGCAGGACCATGCCGAGGGAGTAGATGTCTGATTCGCGGCTGAACTGGCCGGTGCGCAGGAAGTGCGGGTCCACGTAGCCGAACGTGCCCACGGCCACGGACTGCTGGATGAAGCTCTTGCCGCTGTCCATGCCCACCATGAAGCGCGCTAGTCCTACGTCGCCCAGCTTCGCCCGCATGTTGCCGTCCAGAAGGATGTTCGCTGGCTTCAGGTCCAGATGTACGATGGCTGGGCGCCTGTAGGGATGGAGGAGGGGGGGGAGGGGAGGGAGGGCACGAGGGAGGGACAGGGAGTGAGAAGATTTCAGAGTCGACTAGAAAATCGCAACACTTGGTCCCCAGCTTTGCACGCATGCTGCTGTCCTGGAGGATGCTTGCTGGCTTCAGGTCCAAATGCATGATGGCCGGGTGCCTGCAGGGGGGAATGGGGGAGATACCGAGGTTGGGGCGAGGGAGAAAGGAACGTGTGGAGAACATGTGGGGAACGTGTGGGGAACATGTGGTGAACATGTGGGGAATTCTCTTCTGCCTGGCCTGGCCTCCCTCAGCCCATGGCCATTGCATGCACCCCTTCCAGTCACCCTCTTCATTCCTCCACCCACTCTCCCCTTCACTCTTCCCCCACTCATTCCCCCACTTCCCCACACTCTCTCCCTCTTCCCCCCCTCTCCCCCCCCACCCTTCCCCCACTCTCCTCCCAGTCTCCCCGCCCCCCCACCCGCACCGGTTGTGCAGGTGAATGAGCGCCTTGCAGGTGTCTTCGAAGATGTTGAAGCGGTGGGGCCAGGGCATGGGGGGCGAGGCGTGGTCGCACACGAGGCGGTCGTACAGCGACCCGTGCGGCATGAGCTCGTACACCAGGCACGGCGGGTCGTGGCAGCACCCTATCAGCAGCACCACTGTTGGGTGCCGCAGCCCCCTCTGCACGTCCATCTGGTGGGAGGGGGAAAGGGGGATGGGGAGTGCCGGGGGGTGGGGGGTGCGGGATGTGGTGTGGGGGGTGGAAGGTGGAGGGTGTGGGGGTTGGGAGGGGTAGAAGGTGGGGGTTGAAGAAGGGGAGAGGAGGGGGCCGGTGAGGTGGGGGTTCGAGGGAGTTGAGTGAGAGGAAGGGGAGGACGAGAGAGAAGGGAATGGAGGGAGAGGAAGACGAAGGCGAGTGAAAGCCACAGGGGAATGGTAAGGAAAAACTGGAAAGATATCTAGGCAAAGGGGGAAGGCAAGCAGGGGGGGCACATAAGGTGGGGAAGTGGATTGGAGCAGCAGTAAGAAGGGCACGATGGGGAGGGGCGTGAGGGGGAGGGACAGGAGGGAAGGGACATGGCACAACTCAAGCCAGCGTGCTTTTGAGGCTCAATGGAGCCCAGCAGCCATCTCACAGAGCCAACAACTGCTGTCCTAATCCAGTCTACCATCACACCCCAGGCTCTCTCCTCGTCTCCCTTTCCCTCTGCTCTCCACCCCTTGTCGCCTCCACTACGATCCCATTCCCTCTCCTCCCACCCTTTCACAATCACACCCCGTCCTCCCTCTCCATACTTCACCACTCCCTCGCTCCCGTCCTCCCTCCGCACCGTCCCCCCGACCCGTCCCCCGGCCTCCCAGCTCGCCCACCCCACGCGCACCTCCTTCTTGAACTCTTTGAGAGCCTGGTTGCTGTTGGCGGTCTTGAGGCACTTCACGGCCACGGGGCAGTGCTCCAGCACGCCCCTGTACACCGTGCCGTACCCGCCCTCGCCCACCAGGTTCTCCTCGTCCCACATGTCGCACGCACGCGCCAGCTCCTCTATGCTGTACTCTCTGAACTCCTGCGCCTGCGCCTGCTGCTGCTGTTGTTGTTGCTGCTGTTGTTGTTGCTGCTGCACTTGGCGGCTGAGGGCGTACTGCTCCTGTGCCTTGGCGAGAGTGGCGGATGCTGCTGCTGCCAGCTCTGCTGCCTCGTGCCGCACGCGCTCCGCTTCTGCCTCCGCTTTTGATGCCCGCCGCGACTCCTCGTCCGCCTGACAGGCAGAACGGGGGCAAAGGGGGGGGGAAGGTGGAAGCAGGGGGACCCAGATAGGGGAGAAAAGGGTTTGTGATGTGATGTGGTGTGGTGCGGTGTGGTGTAGTGTGGAGCTGTTGTTGCTTCTGCTCTGTGCCATGACTCCTTGTCCGTTATCCGGAGAGTCTGAGGTGGTTGGTTGATGGTGGGGAGAAGAGAGAGTGGTGCTGTGCGTGGGCCAAGTTTCCACGTCGTCCTCGAATTCCATCTGTGGTCGAAGCACGGATTTGATAGATTGCTAGGTTTAGAATGTGTATGCACTGAAGGAGAATGATGTACATGGGAGTGAAGAGCGGGTCTTGCTGGCTAAATAATGTGGGTCAGGATGTGTGGGGATGTGTGGGAGTGTGTGAGGGTATGGGTGGGTGGAAGGGGAGAGAATTTGGTAGGGAGGGCGGGAGGGAGGGGATGGGCGTGTGAGGATGGGTGTAAGTAGAAACGAGCAAACCACAAAGCACACATGAAACAACAAACACACACGCACACGGCACAGACACACACACATAGACACACACACACACAGCGCGCGCGCGCACGCACGCACGCACACACACACACACACACACACACCCCTGTCCCTTGCTCCACACCCCCACCCCCCCTGAAACCCCCACCTTTCCCTCCCTTCACCAACCCACCTTCCTCTTCGCCACCTCTCTCTCCATCTCCGCCTTCATCCGCCTCGCTGCCTCCGCAGCAGCACTCTCCGCAGCCTTCCGCGCCTCCTCCCTCGCCTCCCTCGCCTCGCCATCCGCCCGCTCTGCTGCCTCCTGTGCGGACCGCGCCTGCTGCTGCACACGTGCCAGCTCCACCAGTAGTACCTGCACCTCTGCTCGCTCCCTCGCGCCTGCTGGCGCACCCATGGACGGCAGGGACGTGGGCACAGACGCTGGGAGAGAGAGCGAGTGCGGCATGGGAAATGGGAAGGATGGGGAGAAGGGGATGGGGAACGGCGGCTGGTGTGGTGGTGGCGGTGGGAGGGACGGGGGGAGAGAGTGTGGAGGGAGGTGCGAGGGTGTGTGGCCTGGTGCTGTGGGATTGGGGGAGGCGGATCCACTAGCAATGCTTGGAGCAGCTTCTGTTGTTGCTGCTGCTACTGTTTGTGCGGAAGTAAGGGTTGGTTCTGCTGCTGGCGGTAGGGCGGGCGGGGGTGCACTGCTAGAGCGTGGCGGCACAGAGCCAGTCGGAGCCATTTGATAGACATGCTGCTGCTGCTGCTGGGGCGGCTGTTGTTTCTTCTGTTGCTGTTGCTGCTGTTGCTGCTGCTGCTGCTCCTGCTGCTGTTGCTGCTGCTGCGTCTGGTGGTGGTGTAGCAGCTGTTGCTGGTGGTGATGGTGCTGCTGCTGCTGCCATTGCTCATGAAGCTGCTGATTCTGCCGCTCCTGCTGCTCCAGAAGCTGTTGCAGCAGAATCAACCGCTGCTGGTACGTCTGCTGTGCAGCCCTGTCAACCGCACTACCCGCCTTCTCCCCCTGCCTCTCGCCCACACTCTGCAGCTCAAGTGGACCCGCCTCTCCCCCATGCACACTGCCCGTGTCACCACCAGCCACCGATCTCAACTCCTCTCTACCCATCCCTGCTCCCACACTGCTCCTGCCGCTGCTCCTCCCACTGCTCCACTCCTCGTCCTCTCCTTCCATTGCTGCTGCATCTCCACCAGTCGCAGCAGCAGCAGCAACAGCAGCCGCCGCACCCACGTTGCTGAGCCTATGCAACTGCTGCTGCTGCTGCTGCAGCGCCACCTGCAAGCCCCAGTGGAACCCAGCAGGAGGCACACCGGCAAACCCACCAGCAGCAACAGCCCGAGCAAGCGGCGACGGTACAGACGGACTATTCAGAAGGCTGCTGCCAGGAGACGGAGAGGCGAACCCAAAAACGCCCATGGCGCCAGGAGACCCCATGGCGGGAGATCCTGTGCCTGGGCTGAGGCCTGGGGTGAGACCGGAGGAGGCGGCAGAGGAGTAGCTAGCAGAGAGGGCGCGCTTGAGGCGCGGGGAATTCACTGCCGAGCTCGTGGCCGATGAGAAGCCCTGCTGCTGCTGCTGGCCCCCTCCAGGCCCCGGGCTCTCCCATCCTATGCTGGACCCTCCTCCCCCTCCTCCCTTTCCCCCTCCTCCCCGTCCCCCTCCCCCGCCCCCTGCCTCCCCAGCGTCCCCCCCTGAGGCGGCAGCGGCATGAGAGAACGCGAGGGCGGCCAGTTCTTTGCGCGCCAGCACGAGGTGCCTCAGGTCCAACGCCTGGGGCGGAGGCCCCCTTGTGCTGCCTGCCCCTGACGCCCCTGCTACCCCTGCTACCCCTGCTACCCCTGTTGCCCCTGCTACCCCTGCTGCCGCTGCTGCCCCTGCTGCCGCAGTAGCAGAAGGAGAGGCGGCAGCAGCATCCAGACGCGTCGTCTGCTTGCCATGAGGAACATTACTCTCGCTCAACATCTGCGCCATACCTTCCCTCCCGTCCCGCCCCTCTCCTTCCCCTCGCCCCTCATGCCCTTCCTCGACCTGCCCCAGCGCCCCCCCCACCTCCCCCTCTGCAAGCCTAGGTCCTGCTCCCAGCGTGCCATGGCCCAGGCTCCTCCCTCGCTGCATGCGCGGCTGTGCGGGGGAGGGGCCAGCGGAGGAGGCAGCGGAGGGGGAGAGCGGGGGGCTGCAGGAGGGCGAGCGGGACGACGCAGAGCGGCTCAGAAACGCGCTCACGCCTCCTGCCACGGCAGCGGCAGGCGACGCTGAAGCAGAGGCAGCAGCGGAAGCGGAGGGAGAAGCAGAAGCAGAAGCAGGAATGGGAGCAGCAGCAGGAGCCGCAGAAGCAGCAGGGCCTCTAGGGGCGGGCGGGGCGAGGGCGTCGGGAGAGAGCACGCCCTGCAAGTGCTTGACCTTGCGGCCCGCCTGCACCACTATGATGTCGCACGTGTACGGCAGGTGCTTCGCACAGTATGCTGGCAGGCTCGAGCTCTTGCTGAACAGCTTCCTGCACACGGGCGAGAGGAGGAAGGGCGAGAGGAGGAGCGGAGACGTGAGGAGGGAAAAGGGAGGATAACATTTTGATTGGATACAAAAACTCACTTCAGGTATTAAGATACATATGTGACCTTTCAGATTACCACCCGTCAAACTTCTACTTTTCGAACCCTTGCCACTCTTAGATTCATTGCGACTCATACTCATCCAATAGCTGTCTCATCCTCCCTCGAGTTTTGAGTCGGAGTCGAATTTGACTCCACCCGCGTTATTTTTTTATCGTGCCCGATTCGAAAGTCGACCAATATATGACAGTAAAGCGAAACTCGCCCCGAGTTGGTTATTACTTGACCCAAGTCGAGTAAAACTCGACCCAGGTAATATCGCCCGCCCTGAAACCGTGCATAACTACTTTAAGCCCTTTTCCAAGAGCGATCACTACTAATATTCCTCCTATTTGCACCGCATCAGGGGACGCAGCACGGAGCACTACAGAGAGGATTGTGACTCCACACATCCCCACCCCGCCCACCCAAGACGAGGCACTCATTGCATGCTCTCATCACGTGCCCCTTCCCCCGCATTGCCCCTCTTCTCCCCCTCTCCCCCCCTCTTTTCCCCCAAACACTGACTTGCGCTGGCCAATGTAGAGGCGGGAGGCCTCCCCTGCCAACTCGGCATGGCAACGCGCCCTCTCTCGTGATTTGAGTCGGCTTGAAACACCCCCCCCTCCCCCCCCCCCCCCCCCCCCCCCCCCCCTCCCCTCCCCCCCCCACCCCACCACCCACTCCCCTCCCCTCTCCTCCCCTCTCTTCCCCCCCTAAGCACTGACTTGCGCTGGCCAATGTAGAGGCGCGAGGCCTCCCCGGCCAGCACGGCATGGCACAGCGCCCTCTCGCGCTTGTCCGTGGGGGCAACAAACGTGTCCGCCGCTACCTGGTGGCAGGGGATGGGGAGGGGGATACGGGGAGGGGAGGGGGACGGGGTTTGGGGGGAAGAAAGGGGAGAGGGTGGAGGCGAGGTGGACACCAGGAGGGAGCAGAACATGGGGCCGAGAATGGGAAGCGGGCACTGTGGAGAGTGGAGGGGACGAGGAAGGGGCGATGTGCGGAAGGGGGTGAGAGATCTACTGGAAATGCACATGTCTGCTGTCATATAGTGGAGCACCGGGGATGAAAGGGCGGAGCACGTGATATGCGCCTAAGGGAATGCGGAGGGGGGCGGAAGGTCGATGAGGGATGTGCAGAGCACAGGAGGTTAAGAACGGCGTCAGAGCAGTGGAGAAGCAACCACACGTGCGCGTCAGAGAGAAAAGGAGAGAGTGGAGGGGCGTGAAGAAAGGAAAATGGGAACGGTGGGCGGAGAAAGGGAAAAGAAGACGTACATCCATTTTCTCTGCAAACTCTTTGTATGGCAACAGCATCGCATGCGGTGAGTCCCGCTCTTCCTCCCCCCCTGCGCCCTTCTCACCCTCGCCTGCTCCCGCGCCCCCTGCCCCCCCTGCTCCGCCTCCCGCTGCATGTCCTGCGCCAGCCGCTGCTCCCGAAAAAAAGTGAACAGGGAGGGGAGGGTGAGGGAGACGGGGAATGGAGACGGGGAAGGGAGACGGGGAAGGGAAACGAGGAAGGGAGACGGGGACGGCAAAGATTGGATGGTGGTATGGGCTCAGGCTTGCATGCGAAAACGCAGGTGCGGCGCGTCGGGTACGTTGAGCTCTGGAAGAAGCAACGCACAGGGCGAAAGAGGAGCCGATCTGGTTGCTGAGGGGAAACGAAGAAGGGGGTGTATGTCATGTGACGCGGTTTTTCAACGACCATGATCGGGCATTTGAGTCGGCTCAAAAGCCATCGGACACACAGCAATGAAGTACTGCTGTCGTCTAGCGTCACTGCTCGCGCCGCCCTCCCTCCCGCATTTCCTCCCTCTACACCTCTGCCCTTTCCTCGCAACCTCCCGGTCTCCACAAATTATCCGTTAATAGCTTCACCATTTCTCGCTTCAGGAATACAAGGAAACTCCATCTACGCTGTGCCTCGTGCCACGTGCCTCGTGTCTCGTGAGTAAGCCGCAGATCTCGGCCGGCGGCTCTCTCCCTGCAGTGATCCGCGGCGACTCGAAGGAGTAACGTCTATCACAGATGACGAGGAAGGTCGTCGTTGCGTCGCAAATCGGGTTACGAGCTGCGAGCACGGGTAGTTGGTGCGAGTGTCAAGGGAAGCACGCCTGGCTATGGCCTCAACAACTCTCCGCTATTGACGGCGCAAACGACGCTCCGTCCTACGCCGTAAGAAGGCACGGAGGCCCCATGGGGGATTGAGACAGGAACGGCTCGCTTTACGTACATCTCTCTCGACAACGAGCATGGAGACGAGGGAGAGCTACTAGGAAGTTCCGCTGACAAGCGATCAACGTTCAGAACTATGCGAAACGTTTCACGGCGCGTCCGCATTGCCCGGAGTTCTGCAAAAAACTGCATGCTACCACATACGCGAGGCGCCCGTGGTGACGAGTCGCAGCAGCACGCGGTAGATGACGGCCGTGGCGTCATTGACGGCCGTGACGAGCGCGTCCTTGGTGGCCTCGCGGTCGCGCCCCACGTCCACCACCCACACCTCGGGGGGATCGTCCGCCAGCGCCATGCGCGCTGGCGGGCTCGCTGCGCGCGGAAACACAGCAGCGCGTGGAACGGCAGAAGCAGCAGCAGCAAGGGTGGATAAGTGAGTTGGTGGGTAAGAGACCGCAAGGACAGGAGTGTTGTCGAGGCATTTGTCTGGAGAATGTGTGCTCGAGCTGGGGAAGGGCTGGGGTGGGTTGGGCTTTCGAGATTCAACAGTAAGACGCCCTTGTCTAAAACATTAGACTTGATACTTTGCCAGTTTCGTAAGTCACCTTCTTCCTTGGATTTCGGAATTCTATAAATACAAGCTCAGAAGATGAGCGAGAGGAGAAGAAACGAGAAGTCAGCGAAGGATTGGATGACTCAGGCCTCCTTGAAGTTTGGTTCCCAACTCTAGAGTTGTTTCGTCCTTAGATAGATCGTGTACGACAATTGGGTTATGGTCACGCCTGTAAATTGCAGGGAAACTACGTACGCTAAACAGAAAATAGTCAGGGTGGTGACAAAATCGATGTGAAAAAAAAAAAACGCTTTCCAGGTGTATGTGATGTGTGGATGGACCTTTATCCGCATCTTTACACCCTTGTTGCTGTGGACTTTTAGATTCTAGAATGCCACACGCCACGCTGGGATGGGACAACAATGAGCAGCGCCGAAACGCATCTGGCGCTTCCGCATTGGCTGATCTGCACGTAGAAGGTGTGCTTTCGCGTGGTAGGTGCCCTACCATTCGCCAGAAATTCCCAAGCAACCGTCACCAACACCAGCAGCAACTGGCCAATTCCGGGACCGCGAATTTTAATGCACAGGGGGGCGGGGCAGCTCACAGATTTTAACGGTGTATGGCACGAATCGTTACAGTGGTCGTGTTTCGAGGGCAACTGGGAGGAACATTGTTATGAGCTGTACTAAAGAGTGCGCGAAGTACTTTATTGAGAGACTGTGAAAAACACAATGATGAAACAATGAAGAGAGCTAGAATATATAGGGTGAATGTTGAAGGAAGTTGGCCCCGCTCTCGCATGCGCAAAGCTGACTTTGTGGTCGGGTGTGCGGGAGGTGCAGCCGACCTTCTGCAGGTGTACAGGGGTTGCCTGTACACGAGGTACTAGGGAATCCATGCAAGAGTAACTACAGCATCTGCGAGTGCAACACAGATGTCTCGTGCACATGTACAACTGGCGCAGCTCATCCAGGGGTTCGCGGGTGTTCATCTGCGCAGTGACGCGTCTGACCCTTCACATCATTGCGAAAGCGCAGGCGAATTTTGGCCAGAAGTTTGAATGTGCCCTAATTTCGACCAATCAGGGGCTAACATTTCAAAATGTTCGACGAAGGTCGTCGACCCGCGACGACGAAGGTCGTCAACCGGTGATGATGAAGGCCATCATCATGAAGGGTTGCCATGGACTTTACCTGCTCGACGAGGTTCTGTCGAGGTGCGCGAACGTCGTTTATGCGCATGTGGCGAATTCGACCGACGTGGCAGCTCGTGGTCGACGTGGCTCATCAGGTGCAACCGTCAGCATGTGGCTGACAACCTGCGCAATGTGTGTGACAGTGCACGTCGTGCATAACTGTCTACAAGCACCTGCAAAGTAGGTGCTTGCACATATGCTTACAACTACCTGCGGATGCAATGTTGGCAAGCCGCGCGGATGCTGCGTTGGCAAGCCGCACGAGTGCAGCGTTGCCGCTGTTTTGCAGCATTGGCAAGTTGCACACAAGCTGCATTGGCGGGCCGCAGACTTGCTACGTTGGCAGGTCGATGACCTTGTCATGCTGGCGATTGACCTGCCTGAGTGCTAGAAAACCTTGCATGTGATGTAACCTTGCATTGCTTGTTCATTCTGAACTCTGTATTCTCAACTTTCCTTGATGAAACTCTTGTTGTTTTTGCCCTGTGAGCGCACAAGTTCTAGGGAACACAGACAGAGCTACGATCACTCCTACAACCAGTGCCCACCCTGTAGTCTAGCGCCAACCGTTGTAGAGTTAATCTCCTCATGGTGCGTTTAGCATGGACGGCCCCGCAAGGATTGTCAGAAAGAAGAGACTGGAATGGTTGAACCGAAAGAGAAATCAGTACATATGGCAAACCCTAGAATTGTGTACCCCATATAGGCTAACCCACTGTAGCCTAACAAACCCAACATATATAATGTTTGACACACCCCCATAGGTAAAGTGGGGGAGACCTAGGGGTCACAAGACCAGTCAAGGCAAAGCAAGGCAACAACAAGCTCAGGGTGGATCTCGAGGATTCCACACAAATTCCGAGCACAAGCTAGTGGTCACAAGACCAGTTCACATGCAGGTTTATAACAGAGCCAGAGATACAGTGATCACAACCTAGCAAGAGTAAACATGCAGGTATAGATATATATAGTGATCACAGTACAAGCAAAGTCAAGAGGTAAGCAAGTGAGGTCCAGTAGGCACAAGGCCTAGCAGAGTGCAGAAGCGCTGATGGTCACGAGGCTGAAGCGCCTTGGTGAACACATCAGCAGTGTTGGCCTCAGTGGCCACGTAGCGAATACAAAGCTGACCGCGCTGCTGCAGCTCTCGAGCAAGGAAGTACCACAGAGCGATGTGCTTCGTTCTGTGCTCCAGTCTGTGCTCCTCACACAAGGCAATGGCAGCCTTGTTGTCGACGTACAGTACTGGAGGAGAACGAGGCGGCTCTCCGAGGTCAGTCAGCAGGTAGGTCAGCCAGCGTAGCTCCTGGGCAGCCATGGCTGTAGCGTAGATCTCAGCCTCGCAACTGGAGCCGAGAACAGAAGAAGAGCGTGTAGAGCGCCAAGAAACTGAGCCAGAGCCAAGGCTGAAGGTGTAACCCTGAGACGACCGTTGAGTGGCCTGGTCGTCTGCCCAAGAAGCGTCTGAGTGCCCTGTGAGCACAACTCGGTCTCGCCCTCCAAGCACAAGCCCCATGCCCGACGTACTGCACAAGTAGCGCAACACCCTCTTAGCGGCATCCATGTGCTCCTTCCTGTGACGGCCAGGAGCGACATAGCGTGCAAGGATGCTAAGAGGGTATGCAAGGTCAGGTCGAGTGCAGGTCATCAGGTACATGAGGCAGCCCACAAGCTCTGGATACGGGCCACTCGGCTCTACGGACTCATCCGAAGGCAGAGCTGAGAGCGAGTGACCGGTAGGCAGAGGAGTGGACTGAGGCGAGGAGTACGTGAAGCCAAAGCGCTGGAGAACCTGCTGCACCATGTGTGACTGAGTCAAGGTGATGGTGCGCCGTGCTCTGTCCCGGGTGATCCGCAAGCCAAGATAGCTTGTCAGCTCACCCAGGTCTGTGCACGTGTGTCTCCTCTGCAGCTCCGACTTCACGTAGGCGAGTCCTGCAGTGTCAGCAGTGGCAAAGACCAAGTCGTCGACGTACACGAGGATGTAGAACGGCGGCAGCGAAGTGTCGGTGCGCAGGAACAGCGACGGGTCAGCTGTAGAAGGCGCGAACCCAAGAGCCGCAAGTGTAGTCCTCAGTGTGTCGTGCCACTCACGCGGAGCCTGGCGGAGACCGTAGACCGGCCGCTGAAGCCTCCACTGGGTACCAGGAGGAAACGACCCAGTGAAGCCAGGTGGGCGGCGCAGCCAGATCTCCTCGTGCAGGCTGCCCTGCAAGAAAGCAGTGCTGAAGTCAAGTGAGTGAAGCTCGTAGTCGCGGTGAGCGGCTATGTGCAGCAGCACCCGAAGAGTGGTCATCTTCGGGGTGGGGGAGAAGGTCTGGAAGAAGTCAACTCCCTCTCGCTGACTGAAGCCTCGAGCCACGTAACGCGCCTTGAAGACAGGCGGAGAACCCGGCGGCCGCTTCACCCTGAAAATCCACATGCCACTGACGATGTTCGCCCCAGGAGGGGGAACCTCGTCGACGTAGGTGCGTGTGGACTTCCAGGAAGCCATCTCGGCGTCCATAGCCGTCTGCCACTGAGAGGAGTAGGGACCCGCCATCGCCTCAGCGTAAGTGCGTGGGGTCGGGATGTCTGGTGCATCCAGGTCTCCCTCAGGGGCAACTAGCAAGGACACGAGACGGGGCAAAGCAGCAGCAAGACACTGGAACTCCTCTTGTCTGTCCTCAAGGACGTCCGTGCCAAGAGCACACTCACCCTCGACGGACGGAGGACAGACAGACTCAGACTCAGACTCAGCAACAAGGCTAGCAGCGTAGTCTAGACGACAGGCAGCAGCAAAGTCAACCAACTCAGCGACCAGAGCAGACGCAGTCGAGGACTCAAAGGTAGGGTCAGTGACAACAGTAGCGAGGAGACGCGTGACAGTAGGGTGCTCAGCACGGTACCGGTCAGACTCAGGGTCCGGAACGTGAGGCAAAGAAGACGCGGGAGGAGACGGTAGAGGGACACGCTGAGGAGCAGTAGAGGGACGTAGAGTCATGTAGTGAGTGCCTGGGACAGGAGGAGGACGCTCACGACGGACACGACTACCAGTGCGAGCAGGACGAACAGGCGACGCAGGACGAGACTCAGGCTCACGACGCTCTGTAAGACCTCCTGTGGGACCAGTGTAAGGAGAGGGAGCAGGGAGAGGCGAGGTAGGCGGTAACTGTGACTGCGGCTGGACAGGCAGAGGACACTCTACGGAGGGAGGAGGACAAGGAGGAGGAGCCTGCCCAAGAACCTGCTGAAGGAGCGGTACAAAGTACGGTCGCGGCCGCGCAGCGTCTCCAGAAGCAGAGGAGACTCCAGCGGCCGGGTCCACAGCACCAGCAGCAGCTCCACCGGCCGGGTCCTCAGGGCCAGTAGTAGCTCCAACGCCCGGGTCCTCAGCAGCAGCAGCAGCGCCACCGCTCGGGTCCTCAGCTCCAGCAGCAGCTCCACCGTCCGAGTCCTCAGTACCAGCAGCAGCTCCACCGTCCGGGTCCTCAGCACCAGCAGCAGTGCCACCGCCCGGGTCCTCAGCTCCAGCAGCAGCTCCAACGTCCGAGTCCTCAGCACCAGTAGCAGCTCCACCAGGCGGGTCCGCAGCACCAGCAGCAGCTCCCACGTCCGGGTCCTCAGCACCAGCAGCAGCGCCCCCCCAAGGGTCCGCAGCACCAGGAGCACCACTCCGAAGACTGCAGTGCCGTGTGTACCACTCGCGGATCTGCTGAATGGGGGGGAGCTCCTGGGTAGGAGGGGAAGTACCGGGACGAGCTCCAGCAGCACCTCTCCGGAGGCGGCAGTACTCGAGGTACCTCTCCTGCAGCTGCTGGGAGGAGAGGGCTCCTCCAGGTGTAGCACGCTCAGTCTCAGTACCCCCAGACTCCGCACCCCCAGGCTCAGCACCTCCAGGCTCCACACCCCCAGGCTCCGCACCTCCAGGCTCAACACCCCCAGGCTCAGCACCCCCAGACTCAGCACCCCCAGGCTCAGCACCCCTAGACGCAGGACGAGAGTCAACAGCTACCTCGACAGGCTCACCCGGGTCTACCTGGGACACACCTGAGGGAGCGGCACCCTGAGGGGGGAGGGGGTCTGGTACCTCAGCACCTGGAGCGAGGAAGAGAGGCGGGGGGGGGAGCGGGGCAGTGCGGTAGGGGAAGAGGCGGTAGTAGGGGACGGACTCGTCAAAAGTGACGTCCTGAGAGGCCAGGACACGCCGCGAGGTGGGGTGGTAGAACTGCCAACCAGGGGCGTCCGGGACAAAGCCAAGGAAGACGCAGGGGACAGCGCGACGGGAGAGCTTGTCCGCGGACGTGTCGCGGACAAAAGCTCGGGATCCCCA